ACCAAACCAGGGGGAGGAGCTCTATCTGGAGTTCTCTTGAAAACTGGCAGAGGCCGCACATGCACACAACATAGTCATCATGGGTGACTTCAATTACCCAGACGTCTCTTGGGAGGAACACTTGGCTAAGTTGGATCAGTTGCGTTGCTTCCTGAAGAGCTGTACCTGGCTCAAGAAGTGCACGGGCCAACCAGAGGTAATGCGCTCTCCTAGACTTGGTCTTGGCCAAAGGAGACAATCTGGTGAGTGACTTGAATATAGTGGGTAGCCTGGGTGACAGCGACCATGAAACCATCATGTTCACTCTCCATCACAAGGTGGGCAAATCAGCTAGCAAGGTTCAAGTTTTGGATTTCAAAAAAGCAAATTTCAATAGGCTCAGGGCAATAAGGGAAGCACTACGGGACCAAGGAACAAAGGTGAAAGGAGTACACGAAGAGTGGTTGTTCCTCAAGGATATGATCCTCGAGTCCCAAAAGAAGTCTATTCCCATGCAGAGGAAAGGTAGCAGAAGGGCTGGTAAGCCCTCTTGGCTTAATAGGGATATCACGGTCCGCTTGAAAAAGAAGAAAGAGGCATACAACCAATAGAAGCTTGGGACAGTCCCCAAGAAGGGGACTATACAACAATGGCCTGCACTTGTCGGGAGCAGATTAGAAAAGCTAAGCCAAAGACTGAATTTAAACTAGCAATGGAAATCAAGGACAATAAGAAGTCCTTTAGATATGTAGGAAACAGGATGAAAACAAATGGAAGTATGGGGTCACTGCTTAACAACTTGGTGGGGGCGGGGCGGGGAACAGCTGCTTACCGACATGCAGGAGAAAACTGAACTGAATGACTGCTTTGCTTCGGTATTTTACTGGACTAAGGGGAAAATCATACTAGATAAGGTTCAGAATGGGCCTTATCAGCTGGCTGACAACATTATGGGATCTCTGGCGAAACTCTTTCAAAACTCGTGGCACTCGGGGAAGGTTCCCTGAAGACTGGAAGAGGGCCAATGTTGTGCCCATCTTCAAGAAGGGGAGGAGAGAGGACCTGGGAACCTTAGAATGAACCTAACTTCTATCCCAGGGAAAATCCTGGAAAGATTAATCAAGGAGTCTGTGCGGGCAGGTCTTATTTTACCAATTTCATCTTCTGTGACCAGGTAACTTGCCACCTGGGTAAAAGAGAGGAGGTTGACTTTGTATACCTCGACTTCCAAAAGCTTTTGATCTGGTATCCTATGACGTTCTCATGAGAAAATTGGAGGATTGTGGGCTTAACTGTGAGGCAGGTGGGTAGGAAGCTGGCTGTGGGGTAGGAGCCAGAGAGTTCTAATGAATAGAACTGTCACCCTGGCGAGAAGTGGCCAGTGATGTCCCTCAGGGGTCTGTGCTTGGTCCAGTGCTTTTCAGCACCTTTATCAATGATTTGGATGTGGGGGTGAAGAGCTGACTGGCCAAGTTCGCGGACAACACCAAGTTATGTGGGAGCATGGTTACTTACACTCAAAAATAGGCTGGATGTACAGGCCAACCTAGACAGGCTGGCAAGTTGGGCAGATCAGAACCAGATTAAGTTCAATATTGAAAAGTGTAAAGTGCTCCATCTGGGGACGAACACCCCTCACATGCTTACAGGCTCAGTGGTGCCAAACTGACTAGCACCACGACTAAAAGGGACCTTGGGGTAATAATAGATCTCAGTATGAATATGAACTGTCAGTGCGATGCTACAGCCAGCAGGGCGAACAATACTCTGGCATGCATCAATTGATGCATGTCAAGCAAAATCGGGGAAGTGATTCTTCCGCTTTACTTAGCACTGGTGAGACTGCAGCTGGAGTACTGCGTCCAGTTCTGGGTGCTGCACTTCAACAAGGATGTGGAAAAGCTTGAGAGTCCAGAAAAGAGCCACCCATATGATCAGAGACTTGCAATGCAAACCATACAAAGAAAGGCTGAGGGATTTGGGCCTCTTCAGCCTAAAAAAGAAAAGACTGAGAGGGGGCTTGGTAGCAGCTTACCACTACATCAGGAGCATACATGAGGGGCTCGGCAAACAACTGTTCACCAGGGCACTCTTGGGGAAAACCAGGAGTAATGGCCACAAACTCCTTGAAGACCGTTTTAGGCTTAACACTAGGAAAACCTTCTTCACAGGTAGGGTGTCGAGATTGTGGAATAAACTCCCTCCAGAGGCGGTGCAATCGACTACCCTGGAAATCTTCGAGAGGGGGCCGGATGGTCACCTTGCTGGGGTCACCCGACCTCAGTTGTCTTTCCTGCCTAGTGCAGGGGGGCTGGACCTAATGATCTTGCGAGGTCCCTTCCAGCCCCTTACAATCTATGAATCTAAGAATGTTGTGTATCTTATTTATAAGTGTTGATTGCTTGTGTTGGTTTTCACGCTACTTTTTGCAGACTTCACTGTCAAGTTGTTCAAAACTATATTGTCACTTTCAGAGTTTATGTATCTACCTAAGCATCTTTAGCATTTATAAGGCGTCCTTTATACTCCAAGAGAGGGAATTTTCTGCAGCCAGGGGCCAAGGTTCTGTAAGCAGCATAAAATAGAGCACAGAGGAACTGGAGAGAGGCACATGTGAAACTGCAAGCCACCTTTTTATCCCCACAATTTAGAGCTGCCCCGGTGCTAATGCGTACCCAGATGTAAAGCAGACACCCAAGGACTGTCCTCATATTTTGATTCTTCTAAGGGCTGGCTGTGGGCTGCTCATCAGCACAAAATCTCAAGGCTAGGGACATGCCCCTTCCCACACCTGTCATTTCTTCTGTAGCAGGGTATGTGAAGGGACAGAGCAGGGTGATGCCTGACTGCTTCTGATGGTTTCTTAGCATTTCACCAACAAAGATGCTTTTCTCACTTAACCATGGGCTTGTCCAACTTTATTCACTGTCAGAGCAGTGTCCAGGGGAATGAAGGAGCACATCCTTCCTGTATTTATTTTGAAGTAGGAGGAGAGGAATCCACTGAAGAAGAGTAGGTTGGTGGCATGGAGGGTGGAAGAAAGGGTAAGGACAAAGCAATTCTGTCATTGCAGTTAGCATTTGTAAAGCAATGCTAAGCTCTCAATAGGTGCATACAGGATTGAGCAATACTAGCCCTTTGTCATCCAAAACAGTTGTTCTTGGACTGCCTTCCTCCCCCTGGTGCACCTTGGCAGGGATATCTTCATTAGCAAAAACACAGGGTCTCCATTCTCTTCTTGTGCAGGTTGTGGAGTTGTCTGATATCGCTGCTTTGGATGATCTGGACTCTCCCAGTCAAGAAACAACAGGGAAGGAGGCATAATCTGGACTACTCCCATTTTGTGGAGTAAGAGGCTGGATATAAATTGAAGCCTTTTCTCCCACAGGGCAATGTAGAGCAGAATCCAGTAGACTCAGTGCTGTCAGGCAATAGTATAAATTAGCTTGTCTCACCCCTTCCTCTCTGTCCACCCCCATCCTCCCTAACTGAGCTTGAAAGGATTCAAGATACTATCCACTGGCTGCCAGAGCTGTACACCTGTGAATCACTGGAGTGTGCTTGCCTGTTACTGCGAGTGGGCACTGCAGGGAACTCAGGCTTTGTCTGGTGCTGTCTTGCAGGGAACAGTGACGTGGATGCATCTGCTGACGGATAAATGGGTAAAAGGTACTTCTGCGATTACTGTGACCGGTCCTTTCAAGACAACCTGCACAACAGGAAGAAACACCTGAATGGGGTGCAGCACCTGCGAGCCAAGAAGGTTTGGTATGATCTGTTCCGAGGTGGGTGCTGCCAGTTGTGCAAAACCTCCACAGGCAGGTGGGTCATGGGTGGGAGAGTAGCAGGGATAAATGAGTCTGGATTAACATTGGTCATCTGTGTAGAGTACCATTTGTGCCATTTTGTCACAAGGAGCAATTCTGACTTGATTGTAGGACTGCCAGGTTATTCCAGAGGCACAAGCACCATGTGCTTGGGGTGGGAGGAAGGAATCGTAGATGTCAGTCTGTGATTTGAAGTAAGCTGGAAAGAACCAGGAGAGCAATTACAGGTGGTAGGAGCTGCAAAGAAAGCATTAGAAAAACCAAGAGAGCAAGTTCTACGAGGGGATTAGGCAGCTTCTGAAGACCAGGAGGGCTATTTTGAACTATATTTTGACTGGGAAGGCAGGGGATACTGGAGAGAACAGCATAGAGGAGTGCAACTGTATGTGTGAGAATGTAAAACAGCTACCTGCACAGGGCAGGGATTGGGAACTCTAGGGTGCGACTGCCAGGATAGGGTTTCCAGCAGGAGAGAGGTCAAGGCAGAAGTGACCACCAGGAACATTGCAGGGATGGAGCTAGGCCAACCTCAGTCATGGAGGAAGTGGGAAAGGAAGAAAATTCAGGGGCTCATGGAACTGTGAGCTCAGAGAGTTGGGCAGGTGACTTTGCTCTAGTCCAGGAGAAGACTTAGTGTTTTTGAGACAGTCAGGATGCTCCTCTTGGCCAGGAGTTTGTCTGGCTTGGGTGGGCAAATAGCTTTTCTGGCTGAAATTGGCACAGGACAGCCCTGAAGGGCCATCAGTGGGAACAAGGTTTGGTCTGCGGAAATGTAGGTGACTCTGTTGCTGACAGACTGATGATCCCTCCCCAGAAGGGGTTAATGGTGGGCAGGGCAAGCCGCATGTTCATTCAGTTCTAGGCTCCCTTCGTGCAGCTGTATCCCATGACCTCTACTGATTCACAGCACTCACCTTCCCCTTGGCTAGCAATAGACTGCAGTTCCTAATGGTACCCAACATTAACTGGTACAACTTCCACTGAAAGCTATGGGAGTTGCCTCCTCCACCCTGAACTTGGTGTCTGTTACCTTCTAGTTTTCTTTAGGAAAAAATCTTGGTAGAAATTAAGGCTCCCATTTTTAGTTTTATGCAGCGGACCCTTGACAAGAGATCCAGTGGGTCTGGCTTTCAGAACTGTTGAACAGCCCCAGATACCACTGACCTGAGCTGACTCTCCCATACAGGAACATTGCAGAGACTCGTTGCTTTGGCCCCACACTTGATTTCTGTTGCCTGGCTGGGAAAGAAATGCAAAGCAGAAAGCAAGCAAGCTGATTTTCCACAGCCAGTGAAGACCAAAAGCAAGGACTGCAAATGAGGAACACATTAGGCACTGGTTTCAGTAGTCCAACAAGCTCTCCTTGGCTATGCTCACACCTCTTGTGTGTAATGGCCACTCACAAAGCAGCTGCCCTGTGTACTGTCTTGGAGTGACACAGTATCTCTTGTTCAAAATGGCCTTTCACCAGCGGGCTGGCAGGGATGTGGTTTTTGGGGTAAGATGGCACTAATCTTCCCAGTTTCTTATTACCCTCAGATGCTGCTGCTATTCTGCAGGAGGAGCAGAGCAAAAAGCCCTGCAGGAAATTTCTACAAACAGGTTCGTCCTTTGTCTGGTGACTTTCCATGCAGTAATAACTAGGATGTTCTAGTTCAGCAAATCCCTTTGCCAGCCAGCTCAGTGCTGCTTTGGGGGAGCCCTGACATCTGTGCACCTAGCAAATGGTAGTGTAGAGCTGGTGGACATACATATATGTCCTCATATGTGTATTTATATATGGAGGATGAAAGTGGGTTTGTGTGCCCCAGTGCATAGGGGAAATCTTGCCCCATGCACAGTGCCTGCTGTTCTGATATAGCTGTGTTTGGCTCTCCTTCCAGGCCAGTGCGATTTTGGATCCAACTGTAGATTCTCCCACATGACCGAGATGGACCTGGAGAGACTGAGTGCACAGGTGCATGGTGAGTGGAGATGGAAACAAGAAAATACCTACTGATGTCTCAGAGAGAATGTGAATGCTGGCTTCAGAGTGTGGTGGGACATAAGGAGGTACTCAGGATCAATTGTATAGTGGTAATCGGTGTACAAGGTTGTTTCCATACAATGGCTGTGCAGCAAAAGGAGTGTGGATCCAGCCAGCTCGCTCCCTCCCCTTTTTTCCTTTTTACCATCTGAGCTTTAGCAGTACTGTACATGCAGTAGTCTTCTGTGTGGATCCTGCTTTTGATCTCCTTGTACAGGTGAAGACCTAAGGAATACAGTTGCTGTATGTTACTGTTCAGAGCTACAACATGGACTGGGTTATCTGTGCCCCCTGGGTTTTTTAGGTAGCTATATAATGAGTTGTTGCCAGCAGGGGGCACCAATACATCACATCCCCCAAACTCATACTTTCACATGAGTTTTCCCTAACATTGTCTTATACAATTACAGGAGCACCGTTTCTCTGGTCCCTGTGCCAGCTTCGCCTTTGGCCAGCTGGGTCACCCTATGAAGAGTGCACAGGGTCCTGGCTTCAGAGATGATCCAGGGTTTCTCCCTTCTGGGGTAACGGAGTTTGGGATGGGGCGGAGGTTTGCATGTATGTGGGCTGCTCTCCTTGTCTGCCTGTGGGGGAGGCAGTGGCTTTCATCCATACTGTGATCATTTGTGAACAGAAAGTGTGGGACTCTTCCCATCTAGTCAGAAAGGGAAGGGGGGATGGTTAGGTCTCTTCCTGGGGTTAAGAGAACCCAGGGGTCCAACATCAGGGACCTCTTCAAAATGGGTCATTTCCCTACACTTCCAGCTGATGCTGAATGTTGCTTGTACAGTTTTATAAGCATTCAAAAAAGCAGAGGGAGAGAGAGAGTGTTAAAATGGGGGTATATGTTTCAGGACCTTGATCTATTGTTGGGATCTGTTTGAGAGAAAGGAAGCTGCTATGGATTCAAAGGAGTAGCACAGAGTGAAACACCACTAAGCTGTCTGAGGCTTTGCTGTTGCTGAGTCAGTCTGCGAGTGCCTGAGGCTTCTCTGCAGATCGATAGCTGAACAAAGCTGGCATTCAATACAAATCCTTCCAGTTGGGCCACATGGGAGATGGAACACTCCAGCTGTCCCTGCTGCCCCCGCTAGCCCTCCTTAGAAAGGAAATACCTATCTTGCCATCCTGTTGCCTATTTCCTCTGCTCCTGCCTGCCTGACCAGGGCCTATCAGTGTCCTTTTAGGTACACAGCGCTGGGCGCTGGATTCCCCTGGGGCTGGTAAGGAAGTCATGCTGTTTGGTAGGACTTGTACAACTTCTGCCATTTCAGGTTGTTTATAGTAGGACCAAGCATTCTTCGCAGTGGAGCTGAGGCATGGGCAGGAATCTGGCTTGTTGTTCCAGACCCTGGCAAACATGTTTCCTGGTTACTCTAGTTATCGGCAGTGATTTTGTGTCAGATAGGTTGGCTGTTGAGGGGGGAAATTGGCCTGCAAGAGAGCTAGGTCCTGCAGAACTCCTTTTGCCTTACAAGTATAAAGTCTTCATTAAGATTCTAAGGTTCCTGTTCACAGAGCATCTAGCCTAGATGACTGGGCTCCACTCATACACTGAAGCTGGGCTCTGTGACCTCCACTCATACACTGAAGGGAGCAGTGCAGTCTGAGTGTAGGGCAGAGGAGTTCCATTGTCATCAGCAGGAATCCTTAGGAGAGTACAGGCCACTTGGATAAGCAAGAGTGTGCACCACGGTCAGGGCTCAAAATCTAGGGTCACTGAGCCTCAGCAGGGCTGAAGGGACTTGATGGAGATGTTTTTAAGGTTGTGAATGGAAGAGTGGCAGGGAAATGGGGGCCAGTAACATGGATAGGATCACTAGGCAGAAGATACCCAGCATGCAGTCATCATGCAGGAGTCAGGACATCAGAGGCATAATCTGTAGCTGGGCTTCAGAATGGGGGGACACAATTTTAGACACACAGGTGAAAATCAGGTTAACCTTACCCCCTTCCTCGCTGCAGAGCTCTAGAAGGAATAAACAACGCTTAGCTAGATATACATATGGTACCTTCCATGACCCATGAAACTTGGCCAAGATTTGGGAGTGCCTCTTGTGGTGGCATGAAATGAGACAGGCTGTGTTAGTCACTTGGGGAGTTAGATGGCTCCCTCAGGGACAGTTGGTCCAAGAAGCCTCTGTAAAGAGTCTCATCTGTCCATTAGAACACAGCCTTGGTACTTCAGCACTGTGAGACACTGCCAGAGTTGTGATATGGGATTGGATGGATCAGTGATCCTGACTCAGTATGCTGCTTACGGAGTCATTCTCTGCTTCCTGTGTGGTACAGTCCTAGCTCTGTTTTTTGGCTGGATCGCAGCATGAAGTGGTCTGCCTGTAAGGCACTGGAGCAAGGTGTGAGAGAAGCAAAAAGCTCCAGTGCATTTTCCACTCTGTGTGACAAATACAGAAACTGCACTTGTTGCACATGATTATTCTTTGCCCCCAGTGTGATAAAAACTATCTTGGAGCTGCCTAGCTCTGCTCTCCTTAGTTAGGCTATATATGGGGCATAGCAACATGCCAGGCTGGAATGGACTCACATTCCATCTTGTCTAGGCTTCTGTCTTCAGTAGTGGCCATGGCCCTGTGCTTCAAAAAATGTGCAAAACCTGGCAGTATGGATAAAGCTGCCCCTAGGGGAAGTTTTCTCCTAAGCCTTGTTAGTGTTTGGCTTGTGTGTGAGTGATTGTTGAATCCAATTATCCACTTAACTTCAATAATCATGTGGCAGCAGGTTCCACCAAGTAATGATACATGGTGCTAGAATTAAAGGGGATATTTTAAAAATCTGAATATGTTAATTGTAGTGGGTTCTTATGTGTGTGCGTTACCTTTTGTAGGTAAGTGGGAAATTTGCCACACCATTCATTATAGTAGCTTTGGAATCAGGACCAGCTGGTTTAAACCACTTTGCTGCTGCCACTCAAATGTGCATTTACAGTCACAACAGTTTCCTCCATGACTAGGGAGGGGAGTAGTATTCCCAGCTATACAGCACCAAGGCATTAGCTGGCTGGACCTGCTGCATCATTCATCATCAGCAAGACACTTACATTGTCATTTTAAATATGGTCATGTCAGGAGAAGTCACTGTAAAATTGGCATCTTCTTGCTCAAACTTATTGGTTCCTTGCTACTCTGAGTCAGTTTGCTTATGGTATCGACACAAACCAGTCCCTCTCATTAAACCCAGACAGCCAATACCGCCATGATGAGAGCAAGTCATCATCCATTCCTCTTTAGGTAGGAATGCAGCAGGTTCACTGAATGCTGCCTGGCTTTGCTTCCAACCTTATGCTTCATATGCAGTATGCAGGACAAGTTCTGATGGGAAAGTCTTTCTGCTCAGAGAGGGATTCTTAACAGCAGAGTTCAGACCTGGACCCAGACTTGCCTGGTGGTCTGGGATGCTCTGAGAGGTTGGTTCTGGCCCATATTTCTTTGTAACACATGAAGATACAAGATTCCAAAACACCTCAGCCTGGCTCTCTCTTTTGGGCATGGGGGTTCGCAAGCCTGGTGCTTGATACATGTAAAACTTTTTTTTTTTTAAAGGACCAAATTTTCTTTGGAAGTCATTTGGGAAGACAGAAGGTAAATCTAGATTCCCACTCCAATGTCATTAGAGGGGCTCTTTTCTAACTACAGCCGGTCTTTAATTGGCTGTAATTAGGCTTTGAAGCAAACACCCCAGTGAGAAGAATGAGGATGGCACTCACACCTGTCTGGCTGTTTCTGCAGTCTGGCAGTGTGCTCACTTATTGAGAAAGAAGGGCTAGGAAGTTTGCTCTCAGAATAAAAATGGAGATCTGGAAAAAAATCCATCCAAAGTCTCAGGAGCATCTTGAATCCCCTGATATCTTGGATAATCTCTGAGTGGCACAGGTGGGAGTGGGAATTACAAAGGGAAGCTGAGTAAGAGGGACTGGTGGATTGTTAGTGGGTTTATTTAAATTGGTGTAAAATTGATAGTTGTTTCCAGTGCCCCTGGGGTCACAAGGGGATTATGGAGAGCAGGGTCTGACCCCCAAGGTTTGTGAGGTTCTGCCCACTGGTTCCTTCTCCCCC